CCTTTAAAAAAACAAGTTTACATCCTATTCTTATGCATGCCAGGGCTGTGTGTGAGGTCATTTAAGGTGGTTCTGACAAGTGTCATCGGCATCTTCATATCCGGTCACATGGACGGCAGGCCACTCCCATATGGTCACATGGGGCAGCAAGCCACTCCCACAAAGGTGGCCACACTTTAGTAGGTTCGAACAATTTTTGAAACCCACCACTGTTTTCCTCCCATTAAGCAACGTTTGGGGTACAGGGCTGTTTTTCATTTTAACCAAACTCAAGTTTTGACGTGCCTTAAAGATCAGAATTACAAATAAGGATGAGAAGAACAACTGGGATACTGACGGAAGGTGTATTCTGCTCGTTCAGAGTCTCCAAATTCAAGATCTGCTTTTTTTTTAAGTGGGGGGGCATTCGGAACCAGAATGGAAAGTCTCCTTGTGGGTTTACCTGGGTGAGCGTCAGGTATATCCGGTCTGTGAGGGGAGTGATGACCAGGCGTCCGTTTAAGCCCATGTATTCGTAGCCGTAAGAAAAAGTCCCGGTGCATTGCCGGACGTTGAGTTCGTCGGGCTCGCGGTCCCAGTAAAATCGCAGCTGGCTTTCCCACTCAAATTCACGGGCTTCCATAATGCTGACGAGAAAGGATGCGAACACGGTTAGAGAGAGCCCTTCCATGACTGAGATGGAAAAAAGAAAACTAACCAAATAAACATTGAGAAGAGGGACAGAGGTCGGAGGCGCTCCGCGCGCATTATTTTTAACACCGTAAGTAAGATTCCAGATAGTCCTCGACTTGCAACAATAATTGGAACCAGGATCCCGGCCACTAAGCATGACTGCATTGCTTTGGGACGGCATTCCCTGCAGTCTCAGTGACTGGTTGAATTAGGCGATTCCTGCTTGTTTCCGATAAGCAAAGTTGGTGGGGAAGCCAGAAGGAAGCACCTAGTCCCCTGGCCCGCAGTGGCTGCTCCTGGGTGGGGGATGGAGGGAAGGGGGTACAAAGTGGTGGTGGTGGTTGGGGGGTTAGGGAAGGGGTACGGGCCTGGGTACCTGAGAGACCGCCTCCTGCCAATTACCTCCCNTCCTGAGTCTGCCACCAGTTCCACTGGTCGCTGCCGTGCCACAACACTCACTTTCGCCAGGAGAAATCCCTCGGAGAACAGCATAATTTCACAAATCTGCTGCAGGTCGGGAACAATGACCACCACCGGCCTGAAAAGGGCCTTTACGGATTCAGGAAGCTCCGTTCGTCCCGCGTAGCCAGGGTTCATGGTGATGAAAATCCCCATCCGAGAGTCCAGCGTGATTTCTTGCCCTTCAAACTGAAATGTTAAAACTTCAGCCGAGGGCCTCAAAGACCCCCCCCCCCAAGACCTGGGTGTTTGGGGCCAGGATTTCATGCAGGAGATTTTTTTTTCTTCTCAATTTGTCCCCCCCCCCTTTACCTGAAATGTTTTCAGCTGGTTCATGAGGGCGTTTCGGATCGTCTGAATCTGGGAGGAGATGACCGACAGGACGGAAGCGTCGATCCGGTTGAATTCGTCGAAGCAGCCCCACGCTCCACACTGGGCGAGGCCCGAGAAGATTTTACCCACGGCCTACAGAAGGGGAATGAGGGGCTGAAGATGAGATGCCTATGGAGACTCTCAGTCATTCGAGTCCCAGTTGCCCCAAAGGTGCTTTTTTTTTTTCTTTTCAAAAAGGCATCTGGGCTTTTCCTTGAAGAGGTTTCGCTTCTCGTCCAAGGAAGCTTCTTCAGGTTCTAATGAACGGTGGGGAATTCTTCACCCAGAACTGAAGAAACTCCTTGGATGAGAAGCGAAACGTCTTCAAGGACAAGCCCAGTTGCCTTTTGGAAAAAGCACCTTTGGGTTAAGAAGAGATGGCTGCAGACTGATTTTAGCTTGGCCAGCAGACTGAATTCTTACGGCCACAGTGTAGAAGGTGGAGAAGGGAGAAAGGGGAGGGGGGTTTCCTGACCTTGAAGTCCATGCCTTCTCCGCAGTTGGTGACCACGCAAAGCAATCCCAAAGCTTTGGCGAGATCCTTTGTCGTCTCCGTTTTTCCGGTTCCTGCAGGACCAGCGGGAGCTCCACCCAGGTACATGGACAAGGCCTTTAAAGCGGGGAGGAAAGTTGAAAAACATGAGTAGGATGGTGGTCATTGATTCTGCCTCAATGGGACTTTGACCCTGACCCAGGAAGCAATTACTGGTTCATCCCTAAAGCGAGTTCCTTGTTGAGTTGTAGCTCCTGCTCTCTGCAACAGCATCCCTCCCAAAGGTTCCAATCACCCAACTTTGCAAGCCTTAAAATGCGGCTTTTCTCCCACCTTCTGGGAACAGCGTTCTGTCTAAAAGACTGCATTATTGGTTTTTTTAAACTACAATATGGTTTTCCTCCAGAGGTGGGCTCCTACCAGTTCACACCTATTCGGTAGAACCGGTCCGTCAAATCTACCGAACCGGTTAGAAGAGGTT